AAAAAAAAAACATGACCGCTTGATATTTCTAAGATCTTCAAAAAAAGTATTAGAAAAGAAGAAAGAGAAGTAAAAAGGTAAAAGAAAACTAACTAGTAAAAGAGATCATAACTGAAATCATCTAAATAGCTGGGCATCTTAAAAAATGACAGAGAATCAAATTTACTTTTTTGAAGTAGAGATTTTCCAGTATATGAAGAACTTTTCGGAATTTTCAATCTGTAATGTGAAGACAAATAATATTTGCTTAATAGAGCAAAAAAAAATCTGAAAAAAATAAATTAGCCAATAAACTTTCAAAACCTAGTCCTCCCTAAAAGTAAAAATCGAGATGACGACAAAGACTATATTGGTACCAGTAAAATTATTACTTCAAAATGGTATAATCGTAAGTCAGCAATCATGCTAAACTACGTCTTTAAACATACTGAAATAAAAAGTATGCACGGTAAACAGTTATTAAATATCCATTTTGGCAGTCCTATTAAATACTAAGTCCCTGAATAATTATCCCACAACTACCACTTTGTAATAAACTTATCTCTTACAAAAAATAAAAAATTACTTTAAAAACGCCGAAACAAGCTTTAAAAAGCAGAACCTCAAAGAACCTACTTAGTAAAATGAAGATGGTCCAGTGACAAAGAAACGAAAAGCCCTGATAAAACAGAAATTTCACCAAAGCACTATCCAATAAAAAGGGGAAGACCTTAACAACAGAAGCAGAGTATCAAACATGTATCCACTGTCATGATAACTAAGATGGTTTTGTAGAATATAAACAGATAAGCGCATAATAGTAACGATCAATGTTCACTTGAAGAATTATCAACAGCCATAACCACAACAGAATCAGGATCTTCTCCAATCAAAGTTTTCTGTACAGAAGAACTATCCTGAAAATAAAACTTTCAAGCAATTCAATAAAATTTTTTTTCTAACAGATCTTTTCAATAAAACACAGTAGTATTGAAAACAGCTACAACTAGTGGCTTTACTCTAAGGTCTCACATAGTTTGACTACCTAACAAACAAAAAATACCTTTCTTAAATCTTTTAATTAAAAAGCAAAAAAAAAAATAAAAGAAAACTTAAAACTGAATTACTCCTTCACAGATCAATCCCTCTATGTTATAGATCTCAGGTCGTTGAAGGCTCAGTAATAAAAATAAATAAACAAAAAAACAAACTTTAACAGTTTCCAAAACAGGATGAGTGTTAAAAGTTTCAGCAACAAATTCTTCTCCGCCTGTGACACTACTGCATTCATCTGAATCCATTGCACTAGAAGCTTGGTCTGCTTTCTGCCTCTCCAAAAAACTTTCCGCAGATGGTTTTGACGGAGGGCGAGGAGTACAAAAAGACCCGTTCAGACTGTCCAGAGAAGACCTGTAAAGAATTTACAGAAATTAAAGAATAAAAATTTACTTGTTCTGTCGCAAACAGTAATACTTAACTTGCAGATTAAAATATAAAAATTTATTAAAAGTGAAAGCAGTTCTCTTCAAGACCACTTACGTTGAAGAAGTTTCTACTGAAGGAACAGAATACGCAGCATTACGCTCGTACACTGGTTGCGATGAACAACTGTAGATTAGTGTAGGAGCTTGGCAGACCCTCTTTGAGCTAAACTTTGGAATACCTTTGAAGGAACAAAAAAAATTCGAAACCCCTAATAAATGTAAAGTTTGAAACACGTAGGAAGTTTTTTAAAGGTTGTGAAAATTACTTGGAACTTGAATCACCCTCTCCATCTATTCCAGATGAACAAGTGTAACGCCTTTTCGTAATTTGACGAGAAACAATAGGACTCAAACTTCTGTAAAAATGGAAGTAGGTATTTCAAAAAGTGCTACAACAAGAAAAATAAGTTTCCTTCACTACAATAAATTCAATAATCCCATACGTGTGTTCATAAAGATATTACTGTTTACCGCATTATTCGCCTGGTTGGACTAGGAGTTGGACTGGGACTTGGAGAGTAAGTAATATTATTGCGTACTATCTGCTGAGTAGACGGGGAATAACACTGCTGTAAGCGATATTTATTAATTAATATATTGAAAAAACTCACCAAATAAAAGATAAATAAAGTGAAAAAAAAAAAAGCTGAAATTCCAGCAGTGATAAAAAAACCTTTTGTATTTCTGCGGGCCTAGTTGGCGAGGGAGAACAACTATGTGGTAAAAAAGCATTCGTTAATATAGATATCGGTTCCGATAAGGAATGTGTTCTTTTTCTTTCTCCATCCGCTATACTGATATCGTCAAACGTTGCCGAAACCTAAGAAATCGCAGCAAACCAACATCAAGTCAAAAAGTTATTGCGGATGATGAAAAACTCAACTACGGTGCATTAAATACTTCACACGGCACAAAATGTTAAGTTTAAAACACAAATTAGAACTAGACTGAAAAAGATAATTTTACAAAACTCCAACACCAACACTAGCAGGTTTAAATAACAAATATACATAAATTTTAGAACTTCAAAAGAAATGCTGCAGTTCGGCAAATAATTGGCACTCTACTTGATTTACCTGCTGTGCAGTTTTTACTAATTTTTCATGAGCAGCCTCTGTTTCAACCGAACAGTTGCTTTCACGTCGAATGCTCGCAATACGAGAACGGGGAGCTGCCGCACAAACGACCCGAGGAATGGGTGAAGAACGGCCAGATGTGCAAGGAGAAGGAGTAGTCTAGAATTCACTTCTGTATACACACAGGCAACTCTTACATAAATATAAAAGAGATAACACTTTGCAAAAAAAAAAAAAAAATGCAGCCAAATTTAGTGATACCTTTCGAAAAGAACTGCCAGTGAAAGAAAGCTTCCTTCCTCCATCAGCTGATGTTGACGAAGAGTCGTGGGGAGACCGCCATGGTACATCACCGAAACCTCCACTATTTCTTTTAGAAACAGAAATACCGTTCCCAAAACTAAATTACTTTTGTATAAGATGAGTCTCGACATGATTTTCATACCTTTCATCTTTCCGTACCAACCTAAAGCCAGAAATTTCGTTAGAGCTGCAGTTGCTGTCTTCATCCATCGTTTCCTCATCACTGTCGCCTTCGTTATCATTCCGGCGACTTCGAATAGCTCCGAGCTTGTCAAAGACTTTGTTAACAGATGTCGCTTTTTCTGGAGAGGATGTGGATTGTGAATTCATAAGAAGCTTCGAATGAGTTACAGATCCGGCGCCAGGATTTTGCTGAGTTGAACAACAGCTGTTTGGAAAAATTAAAAATAAGACGGCTTCTACCGCACCAAT